TGGTAAGCTAAATGGCACAACACATATACTTTCTTGACTTGGTTTTCATATATATCATATTGAAACTCTTTGCTTTCTCTTTCTAAAAAAATTAATTAATTTCATGTGCTCTTCATTTATTTTTTCGCTGCCTCCATTGGCATTCCGTTTTCCCAAGATGAGAAACTTTAGACATTTCATAACCTCTTGCTAAAATTCAGATAACTCAAGTTATTTTCAGTGTCCGCCATCATATCTTTAATATCTTTTATCTGATTATGGTAATTTTTCATCTAGTATGAATCTTCAAGATGCGTGTGACTGTGGTTAAGAGAAAAAGAAGATAAAGTGAAAAGGTTAAACTCTTTGCAGAGGAAGAGCTCCATGGCAGATCTATATTATGGTAATTTTCAGAGAATTTAATTAAGGAAGATTGGACCCTACTAAAATACTTAAATAGTTAAATAATACTTAAATAAATTGATGTGATCATCCTACACACAGTATCTACATTGATAATTTACACTATCTGCTGTATATTTTATTAACATTTACTCAAGCACTAGATTGCTTAAAATCTTCAATAATTTGTGAAGAGAATTATCTTAGTCCAGATGAGTTAAGATAAAAATTTTAATTACATACCTCTTGATAACTTCTAAGAAATCCCAGTCTTTTTTTTTTTTATATCTGGTGCAGCTGCTGTCAGCACAGTGAATAGGTGGGCCGGTGCAAAAATATGGACTGAATATACAACTGGCATGTCGTCTTGTATTAGACTAAGGTTGTGTTGAAAACGCTGACTGGATTTTTATCACCATTGTATTTTTATATATAAATAGGTGAAATGGAGTTGAGTTTCAATGTCTGTTTTAGCATGAAAAATTGGGGATATGGAGTTAGAGCGTGTGAAGTTACTGAGATGCGTGAGTTTCACGCACCAACGGGCTAGCAGTCGGCTTTTGTCTCTTCCCATTGGCAATAAAAGCCGGGTCTACCCCCAGGCAACCTGCGTAGCCTCTGTCCCCCCACCTCTGCATGTCACACTGGGTTAGCGTTGATGATGTCACCAGTGCAATAGAATCCAGGAAAGTAAACAATTGTGGGGGAGCCACAACGTAGTAAGTGTGCTGTATTATTTCAATATCTGTCCGAATCCCTCTTACCAATCCATTGATATGTGTATTGCATGTAAACAGAGTTGGTTCTTCTTTTTACATCAGACAGGACTGGCATGGTGTTTTGAAGTCCGCATGTTCTGCTCAACGGCATCGCGTTAATAAGTGGGTTGTCCTGGGTCTAATGTTCCCACTGTATGCCGATTGGAGCAGAGCCATCTGAAGGTGATTTAAACCCGGGTCACTTGCCGAGTCTTTTGACACAAATCTCGAGCTGTTCCCACTGCCACTAAAAGTCAATTGTTTTTTGGTCAGTGGGAAAGGGTTAAAAGTCTCCAGTAATTCAGGAAAGGAATGTTGCCGATGATCTCTTTTTGCAGTAATTAGGTGCAGAGGTTTGCCACCAGGCCTGGTGAGCCTTTGATCAGTCTGCAGGTTCTGGTCCTTGGCACATGTCCTTCTGCGATGGAGAGTCTCAGAGCAAAAGGGATAATTTCTTCAAGTTGGATGTTTTGTCCTCAAGCACCTTGCGGGGCAAGCTCAAATATCCCAGTAGGAGTGTCTTGGAAAAAGTCTGGGAAAGAGGGGTTGTGGAGAAGTTGCAGAGTGTTCTCCAACAGTAAGATTAAACTACATGTCTTACAGCGATGATCACAGTTATAGATTAGGTGAAGAGCTAATAAGAGAAAAGAGAAGAGAAATAGAGCCATCTCATTCTTACCTCCTCATCATTCAAAAATAGCAAAATTTTCCTCTTCCTTTTTCTCCTGCGATGAGGTGTCAAGCTCAACTTAAGGGGTAGCAGCTTCAATCGATTGTCGACTAGATTCTGTTTGTCATCGTCAATACACTCACTTGAGAAGGATTCAAAAATATTGCTTAATGCTATCCGTTTCAGTGTATATATCTGCCATGTCGGCTTGCCAGGCTTCTGGAAACTTTTTTCTTTGCTTTATTTTTAATCATCAGTGTCTGAATATTTAAAGACTAGTTTTGAAGGTAAGTAACAACATGAGAGCAAATTTATTAAAATGTTTGACTCCGTCTTTAATATCACCCTGGACATTGGTCCCCAATCTCCAAATTTAATTTCATGGTTTATAGACCAACTTAACAATCTGCAATAAACTGCAGCTGTTGAGTGTATCAGCCCATGCCTACTATATAGAACATTGGCCAAGGACAGATCATTTGGGCTTTTTTTGTTATGACAAGACTCAGCAAGTGGAACCTAAACTTGTCATTGTACCAAAGGATTTTAAAGAAAAAAAGCAGGGAAATCTCACCACCATTCAAACTTTTATTCCAAATAAAACAGGAAATCTAGATGAGAACAGTTGAATAATAACAGAAACAAGATTTTGCAAATGACTTAAGTCAAGAGTTCAATATAATAAAAATACTTTTAGGGAAGCATATTATGAAGTAATCTTGCAACATTATATTTCAAGCAAAAAGGACCTTGTCAGTTGTATCTTCACAGCACTTTACAGAAACCAGGTATTTAGTCTTGGTTTGCATGATCTAAGAAAATTAAGCAGAGTTTCTCCAACTGATAAATTCAGCTCAAGATTCTTTAAATGGGCTGAATAAGCTGGCACGAAAAATACAAATAATAAGGATAGTAAATGTAATTAAAGGTGTAAGGACAATCTTTTATGTCCGGGTGGATCATCTAAAGAAGCGGTACTCCTAATTGTAAATCATTCTGGTGATATATTTACGTGTGGCAATGCTAGCTGGTCATCCTGTTAGCTATCTTTTTTCTGGCATATATGTTTAGTGAGCTACGGTATCAGACAGTCATTGAAGCTCATCTTTCTCAACCGAGGTTCTTTGAAAATGGCTTTGCTGTTGGGATCCCTTTGGGCATTTGGGGCTTTGGGTCCCCCTGCAAAAAGCCAAACACTGTGGAAATTTACTAAGCCCTCGTGAGGTGATGGTGAATGTACCCTGCTGTTGAAGCAGAGCTATGAGCATCTACAAGCCACTTTCCCTAAACCTTGCACACTGCATACACAAACAAGGGAATTCAAGCAACCAAGGGTACTTTACATGTCTTTGCAGGTGACAAAGCAGACGGAAGATGTTTTATTGTTATCTCCCTTTTATCTCCCCTTTTATCTCCTCTTTTTTCATCTTTTCTCTTTTATTCTGTTTGTCGTTCCCTGTTCTTACATTGCAGTGTCCAATCTGTACTACTCTCTGCATGAATTATAATAAAGCTATATATCTATATATATATCTATATCTATATCTATATCTATATATATATATATATATATATATATATATATATATATATATATATATATACATATATAAATCAAGCTGAACACTATGGCGATAGCCATACTGCTTCACTTTTGAAAGCAAAATCTGTTGTGCTCTGTTTTTGGCATGCTGGCTAAATTGGCAAGATGTTACAGGACCCTTACCGCCTTCAAGTCAGAGTAGAGTTCTTGCCTGGAGAGGAGTTTAAATTCCTGGATTTATTTGAATCTACTTCTGGACCTCCTCTGGCAATCCATAGCAGAGTGTTAATGAAAAAAAAAAATGGTGAAGGCAGCAGCCCTGTGCAATATCAGCTTCATCAGCATGAGGCTGGCTCTGCTAATGGGAGGCAGCAGCTTTTCCTCAGTCTTTCTTTGCAAGGTTAGGACAAGGGAAGAGCTTTAAATTCATCCTACAAAGTGTATTCTAAGTTGGGGGAACAAGTGTGCTTTTTGGATTGACAAACCAGTCTCTGCTTAAGGCGGGCATACACTGGCATACACTGCATGATTTTTTTACCCTTTATGGGTAAAATTTTCAGTTGTGCAAGAATTTTCGAGATTGGGATAAGTTTCGGTTTCATCATGCGTCCTGTCTTGTATACAGAGGGTAACAAGGGGATCATTAACCTCTCACACATACCACTCGATCAGGAATTATATGGTCGTAAAAAAACAAACACTGTGGAAATTCACTAAGCCCTCATGAGGTGATGGTGAATGTACCTTGCTGTTGAAGCAGAGCTATGAGCGCCTACAAGCCACTTTCCCTAAACCTTGCCCACTCACTGCATATGCAAACAAGGGAATTCAAGCAAACAAGGGTACTTACTACCTCTGGATAGACGAGTCCTACCAATGCGATCTTTCTAAGGGACTGAGTCCAATGTGTGGTTTTGGAACAAATCCCATGAAGCTTTGCAAGGAGAACTCAGTGTTCTGGGATATAACTGCATGTCTAGTGACCATGGATGCACACTACGTTTCACGGTGTATTGTGTGAAATTTTAGTCCACTACTTTTTCATCCAATTTAGAGATTCAGACACAATATATTAGGATGGAATAAAAAACTGAAATAATAAGTGCAACACTTTCCATTGGTCTTGGTCTGGTGTCAAAAACAAAGTATTAATGTTAAGTGTTAATTTTGTTTTATCTTGTACATAAAAGTTATCTCTTAGGCCTATCATTCAACATCTATGTTTTTGCTAAAACTGTGTAACTTCTTTTGATTAAGACCTTCAAAGCTCTTTTGGACGAGTTTAAGATTAGATTTAAGTTTGAGATAGAACAGTTTGTCTATGGCAGAACCAAACTGAGCTCTTGAGATGTAAAGGCTGTTATTACCGTCTTGCAAAGACAACGTATTGACTTAGTGATTACCACCATTCTCCATTGATTTAACTGCAACAGATAGCTGAATTATTCTTTATTTTTTCACTTTGGATTTTAGTTCCTTGTTTTGTATTTTAACAGGTTCAGTTTGCTGCCTTGAGCTATTGCTGTCACTTGCCAGTAGGTGAAGGTATACTTTGGTATTCTCAATATTCAACACCCTTTTTTCTCAAGCCTATAAAAAACAATCCAGTATACCTAAGCCATGCCCTGCGTAAGCTGATATAAAAAGAGAGGAGAGGAAATTAACCCCATTCTGCATTAGACTCTTGAGGCACAAGGTATCTCCTTTTAATCTGGTCAATTATTTTTTTGTCTTTACTTTTCAACGTTTTTTAGACCTGCTTTTATTTTCTGATGATTGTTCATCAGTTGACATTTCCCAAAACACTGCTTCATTACAGATAAGGTGGTATTTGACTTTTAGATCATCATGAGAGCAGCTTTTCTCTTCCTTCTCCTACTGTCAGGGACAAATCTCTTACTGGTAAGACACATGTGTGTTCACATGTTAATAGAAAGATACTCCTAGATTTAGTTGAAGCCCAAAACTGGAGAATTATTCCTTAAAAAACAGAACAGCTTTTTTTGTTCTTGATTGTAAAGACATTAACTTTTTATTGTAAAAGATTTTTACAAGATAAGTAACTGTGCAATTTTTTTTATATTTGTTCCACAGAGCACACCAATTGATGGGAATAATTCTGGTGAGTTAAATTATTTCTGCATTAGACATTTCAGGTTTGAATGATTTAACATCTTAAAATAAGTTATTTATTGTATGTTTTATCAGTGGATTAATATGTTTATTTATGATTAAGAAATAAGATGGTTTGGCTTTGGTAAAAGACAAAACAGTCGGTTTTTATTCCCATTTAAAAAAAAATTATTAAGTTGATAATTTTACTAATCATTCTAAAGAAGCCACTGATGGATGTGATACAGTTGTTTAAGATCCATATTAGCATAGGAAAATCTGTTTTTCTGCACCACAGAGAAATTGCCTCTCATATAATTTAAAAGTGGAAAACACAGATTTAGAAATACACACATTAGCCACTGAAACATGTTTAATTGGTTTGAGGATCCTATGGTGTATGTTGTCTGGGGCTTCCTGATTTGGTCTCTAGAATAGGTTAGATAATTGCAAACAAAGGACCTTAGTTGCTGCTGACGACTGACTGGAGGGGGATTGTGGGCTACATCCAAGCCGGCCTGTTGAGCACCTTGTTGTGCAAGTTACCTTAATAAGTGAGATAATTGTCTGCTTGTGGTTTCAACCTGATAAAAGGTAAGATTATGACTGTCATCTGTGTGAAGGGACTAAACAGCTGTTCAAGTTACTTGGCCTCATTGGATCCTCTTTCTAATAAGTAAATAACTGATTACATATGGAGGATTATTCCTGACAAAAACCAAGAGCCACATTTTCAATTTGAGAGCAGGATTTCCTCTACTTGCACTAGAACCTTGTAATGCTGACATTCAAAACTTCTACTTTCTCTCAAATCCATTCTCTTCTCTGAAAAACCTTTGTTTCTGCTTTCACATCTGATACTTTTTGCACAGATATTTTAACATCTCATTTATTTCTCTGAATACAGCAGCATTTTCAGCCAATAGAACAACAGTGCTTTTTTTTCTCTACCTAGTTTGCCTGTTACTGCTTACTGATAATAAAATTGTTTCTCAAAAGTTTTCTTCTAACACAATTGTGTGATACTGTCTTTGATATGCCAAATCAAGCATGTTACCTCTTATACCAAACAGAAGAGATTCATGAACCATTTTAGCCTTGATAAAAGTGCCTCCAACAGAAAATTAGGTGACTTTCCATAGGTGATTTTAGAATCACTCCCCATTTTGGTTTTTACTCTTCAGTCTTACCAGTTAGTGTGTCAGCTTCTTATTTTATTAGACGTTCAATTGAAAATAATTGTTATCCTCAATAGGCACAACAGGCAAAATCAATAGAAGAAAACAAGCACACCCTTTCCGAGGCTGTCATTCTATTGGCTGGAAAGGTTACTAGTTGACGATCTGACTCCAGTCATTTCCCCTCATTGCGCATGAGCAAGAATGTGCAAGAAACATTAGATCTCAGAGCAGAAACAAGGATTTGATGGATAAGAGAAAATATTAGAGAGAAAGCAGAAGTTTTTCATGTCTGCATTACCAGTTTTGAGTGCAAAGTAGAGATAATCTAGCTGTCAAATTGAAGTTGTGTGTTCTTGGTTTTTGGAAAAGTCCTTCATAATTACGCAATTAGTGTGTGCTGTTACTCTTGAGTGTATCCCCCAGAATAATAGCTCGCCCCTAAAAGACTGAGGCCATACTGCTAAACCAGAATAAGGTAAAGTCTAAGAATACCCGACAGATTGCACCAAGTCACTATTTGTGGAATTCACTCCTTAGGAGCAGTTATGTTGAGGCAGTAAAATTTGGATCATGACTTAAACTCTATAAATGTAGATGAATTTGGCCTCTATTGTTGGAAGGTGGTGCTAAATTTAAGAGAGTGTATGATCTGAATTAAACTTCGAGTAGCATTACTGTGTCTGATTAGTGAGAGAACGTTTGCTCTATTGGGGTTAAATAGGCACCTCCTGTTGGCTGTTATCATGGTGAGTCTTCGAATGGGTTCTCAACTGCTTATGGCTTTTCATACTTGTTATGCACCTGCTACGCTCTGAGTGTAAATGCACCTGCTTCGTAAAATGGACCCCTGATTACAGTTACTCCTAGACCTTCCTGTATAGATTTTCTGGACACATCTACATGGTCTAAAGCAACAGGGCAAACATATCATTTGTAGTTATCGGATTTTTGATAGAAGAAGATGAAAAATTAATGCAGAAAATTTACTTTATGAATTTTGATTCTTGGTTTCTTTTTGATTTGCTGCAGAAAAACCCAGGCTGCTGGATGACATTGCCATACCTGATACTTTGTTCAGAAATGCGGACCCATGTACTGCCATAGGCTGCAAGTGGCCCAAATCTGGGTTCTTAGTGAATGTGCCTTATGAGATATCTTCTAACTATAGTAAGTGGAACTAATTAAAACCAATAAAGAACATGAAGAATGTTGCATTTATATTTAATTGGTTCAACTGAAATGGTAATGTTTCAATGAATTCAACTTATCTGCAGCTCAGCGTGAGCGTAGGACGATCCTTAAAGGTCTAAAGAGCTTCCATAGGAGAACTTGCATTCGCTTTGTCCCAAGAAGACCAGATGATCAAGATTACATCCAATTTTTTTCAGAGGAGGGGTATGAGCACAAACACATACACACACACACACACACACACACACACACACACACACACACCCACACACACACACACACACACACACACACACACACACACACACACACACACACACACACACACAACTGTTAAGACAGAATCTCAACATAAATCATGTAAAATCATATCAAGCTTTGTCAAATAACTTAGAACTTTAGAATAAGTGTTTGCCAATTTGGCTTCCCTGCTTGAAACAAAAATACATTTAAAATGTTTGAGTTAATCTTTTTATTATTGCTATATCAGTGATATAATACATAAAATGGAAAAATTTATAAAATTTAAAGTAACTAAAAAGTCAAGATCAGACAGATATTATGTAGACAGTGGTGTCAATCAAAGAAGTGTTTACTGTTTCCTCTTGAGTTGTGCAGAAATCATTTAAGTTATCATATATGATTCTTAAATTTTTTTTTTAAATGTGTTGACTTTCACTTAAAGAGCATAAATGTAGAGGACCCAAATTCTGAGACAGAGGCTGAGGTGATTTCTTGCACATTTAATAATAAGACTGGTGGCAACAGAAGTATAAATCCAGAAATAATTAACCAGGTAACACGGCAAATAGAACAAAGGGAACACAGGGCTTCAGGAATGAATCTACTGACTCAAAAATCACAGAATGTATTCGATTTTACACCATAAATAACTTTCAATAAAGTTTCATCAACAAGTATCAAGCTCACCATTATGTCACCTGTCATAATGGCCTGCTTGCGAAAGCAAAGCTGTTAGGCTATCATCTAGCTCTGGAACACCTATTCCATGAGCCTTTTTTGGCAAAACTGGACACAAACAAACAAAAAAACACAGAATGACAAAAATCAAAGTTTAACTGAAAACCCAAAGTGAAAACTTGAACAGAACCAGAAAGTCCAGATCAACAGGTCATGACATTCTTTCCCTATAATATTTTCAGAGGATAGAGTCAACAAAATCAAAAAATCTTATTAACTATTAAGTTTAAATAAAAGACTGCATATTTATACCAGGCATCAGGATGAGAATGATTCAACTTTTGCCTGGTTTCAGCCTGACTATGTGTACCTTTTAGATGCTGGTCCTATGTCGGGCGTCAGGGTGGAGAACAGAATATCTCCCTACAAAGTGATAGTTGCTTGGATCTTGCCACAATACAACATGAGGTGCTTCATGCTCTGGGTTTCAACCATGAACAGGTTCGTTCTGACAGAGACAAATACGTTCGGATTCACTTCGAGAACATTGACGAAGGTAAGTTTTTTGTCAAAAGAATGGTCAATGCTTTTTCAAGTCAGGAGACTTAACCAAAGTGCTTTAATCCACATTCAGTCATTCATGCACACACTCACACATTGATGGTGGCAGACTACATTGTAGCGACAGCTTTCCTGCATCTCACTAACAGAGACGAGGATGCCGTTCACTGGCGTCACCGGGCCCTCTGACCACCATAAGTAGGCAATGTCGTTGAAGTGTCTTGCCTAAGGACACAACACTGAAAGCCAGAACCGGGGCATGAACCGTCAACCCACCGGTTGCAGGGCAAACTCCAGCACGCGACGCTACTGTCCATTCCATGTTCCATTTCTGTGCTTGACAGTATGTCCTTTAGTACAGTATGTTTTTTTTTTTTGTTTAATTCTATAGTTACTTCAAAGTCTTTACTATATTTATGCAACAACTCCAGAGGATTATCTAAAGTTGGAGCAAGTTAGATTCACCCTTAACACATATTCCTCTGATCTAACAAAATCATTTTGAAAATAGTAATACATGTTTAAAGGTTGTTATTCAAATGTAAACCAGGCCTCTTATCGTTACTGTTAACTGAGGGGAAAAGGTGTCAATGTTTTGTCTTCTGTTTATGCTGCTGAATTTTTGCTCCACCCTTCATACTACGGTATGCTTAAAACCACCTTTTTTTGGCTGCGAACCAGCACAAGTATTTGACACCATATTTCTTCAATGTTAACTTCCAGATTTGTAAACTGTGATAAAGCCATTTTACCATATGAGTAATATACAGCTGCTAATTTATGTAGTTATTTTAGTGTTTTCAATAAAATCAAGAAAAAAAGTGATAAATAATTTTGTAAATAATTTTGAAAGCAGTATAAATATATTATAGACGACAAAAATTTCACACTAATAGCAACATATGTTATTTGAGGCTAAAAAAAGTTTTGAGAGAAAATATTATGTCATAGAATAGCACGAATTGACATTTGGAAAATGATTTCCAAGGGAAAAGCATATATATTGACTTTACAAAGTATCTTTTTGCATTCAGAGTGAAAACATTTTCTCTCAAAAATAGATTTCTCTCTCAAAACCTTTTTCTTCTCTCTCTTAAAACCTAAGTATTTGCTCTCAATTTTCGATTTCTCTCGAGTAAAATCCTGTACATATTGGCCAGTCTGAACAGCATTGACAGCTGAGAGTTTAACAAAATCACAAAAATAACTCCATACTGCTTTATATTGTCCATATTCTGAATCCGTGGGCAGAAGAGGAGCACAACTTCGATAAGGAGGAAACTAACAACTTGGGGACTCCATATGACTTCAACTCTGTCATGGAATACTCAAAGTAAGTCTATAAAAACTCATGCAGTCATAAAGTATATGGCAACCATTTAATTATCTTGACTGAATGTGTTTCTTTAAAGTGATGCCTTCTCCAAAAATGGCAAACCAACCATTGTTGCCAAATGTAACCCAAAGATGAAGTTTGGACATGCCAAAAAAATGAGCTTTAATGACATTGCGCGTGTCAACAAGCTTTATAAGTGCAAGTGTAAGTAGAAACAAAAAATTTAATACAACATGTATCTATATTAGATTTACACCTTGACGATTTAGCCAGTGTATGCCGATGTATGAAACATTAGGCAAAAATGTTGGCATACGTTGGATAAGTTATGGGTATGTTTTGTATAAGTCATGAGCATGCTAAAGCTAAAGCAGATGTCGACATACGGCAAGTACATCAAAAAATTTTGAGCATGCTCAAAATTTCTTGACATATGCTAGCATCTGCTCCTACATGGGCCATAAGTTACAGGCAAGTTATGTGATCATTGATACACGTTAACTGTAAGTTACTTATAAGTCCTGATGTCTACCTTATCCATCCTTTATCCTCCCCATCATACTGTAGGGTGAGCATGAAAGTGAATTTGATGGATCCTCCCTGCATTCACACCCACGGCTATGACCAAGAAGACGCTGAATCTGCTGCGGCTGCAAACCTTCCTTCTTTCTTTTTCTTTTGGTGGGCTGTAAACAGCGGCTACCACAACTGCGGAGTTTGGAGAAATCTTTTTGTGCTTTTTATGCAGGCCAGGCGCCTCCGGCCGCATTGCTGTCCCCCTTTAGGACACTGGCTTGTGACATATCATGCGCATTACGCTGCCGTGCGTTATACTGTTGTTTGACATATTATCTGGACTCGTTATGAATACTCTATGTATACACCCAAAATTGAAAACATACATAGAAAGTTATATTTTATGTTTGTATGTTTGTTGTTGTTTTTAACTCAATTAGAACTCCATGGTTTAAAGAGGGCTGGCTCTAGATACTACAACTGACCATAAGCATCACTCTAAACACCAAATCTGAGCTAACACAAAAATATGTTCTAGAGCCCCTGAAAAATATCCATCTGAAATTATATTGGAATTTTCTTTAAAGTAATAAGTTAAAATGACCAAAATCACATTTTGTCTGTTTTTTGAAAACCTTTTGTTGGATCAGGATTGCATGTAGTTTATAATATATAGACAGAAATAGCAGGCTTCTGTAATAACCTCAGTTATTTTGCTTATGTTTTTCTTTTGCTTTTGGATTTAGGAATATACAATTATACTAGAGAAGGCTGATTATTTGGTATGAAATGACAAAAAAAAAAATAGGTTAAGGAAACTGCTTGCAATTTTTTGTGTAACAATATAATAAATTTGCTTTTAAAAATTTCTGTATTCTTTTAGTCAGTTATCCGTATTACGGAGCCCCTAAAGGGACATGGAGGAAAAAAAAAACGTTTGCGAGATCTCGCAAAGTAAAACAGATGTCCTGATCCACACTCCTTGCTGGTTAGTGGCGGTATTGCACCACATAGTTGTTTGCCAACCGCCATTAAAAAGAAAAAGAAGAAAAAGAAGAAGAAAAAGAAGAAAAAGAAGAAAAAGAAGAAAAAGAAGAAAAAGAAGAAAAAGAAGAAAAAGAAGAAAAAAAAGAAAAAGAAAAAGAAAAAGAAAAAGAAAAAGAAAAAGAAAAAGAAAAAGAAAAAGAAGAAGAAGAAGAAGAAGAAGAAGAAGAAGAAGAAGAAGAAGAAGAAGAAGAAGAAGAAGAAGAAGAAGAAGAAGAAGAAGAAGAAGAAGAAGAAGAAGAAGAAGAAGAAGAAGAAGAAGAAGAAGAAGAAGAAGAAGAAGAAGAAGAAGAAGAAGAAGAAGAAGAAGAAGAAGAAGAAGAAGAAGAAGAAGAAGAAGAAGAAGAAGAAGAAGAAGAAGAAGAAGAAGAAGAAGAAGAAGAAGAAGAAGAAGAAGAAGAAGAAGAAGAAGAAGAAGAAGAAGAAGAAGAAGAAGAAGAAGAAGAAGAAGAAGAAGAAGAAGAAGAAGAAGACACAAAACAATGGAGGCGCAAACAGATCATCCATGGGAGAAGTTTATTCATTTCTATTTTAGTATTGGCCTGACATATAAAGACATCAAATCCGTACTTGGATGTAGACATGGATTCGACATTAGTGAGAGACATTTGAAAAGATTACTCAGGGCGAGGGGACTTTCTCGTCGTAAAGAATACAGTGATCTTGCGGTCCTGGTGGAATTCATCAGTAACGAGCTACAGTTCTCTGGTCAGCTTCATGGGTACCGGTGGATGTACGCAAAGTGCAGAGAGCATGGACTACTCGTTAAGAAGGAGGATGTGAGGTTGGTGCTGAAGGAGCTAGATCCTAGAGGAGTTTCTTTAAGGCAAGCAAGACGCCTAAGACGACGGAGCTACTTTTCGAGAGGGCCTAACTTCATTTGGCACATGGACAGCTATGACAAGCTGAAGCCATATGGCTTTTGTATCAACGGAAGCATTGACCGTTTTTTGAGAAAAATCATCTGGCTTAATGTCTATACCACGAGTAGTGACCCCAAGTTGATTGGGGGTTATTACGTTGATGCAGTCCAACGTTTAGGGGGCTGCCCTAGGATTGTGAGAGGCGACTTAGGGACTGAAAACGGCCATGTTAGAGGCTTTCAGCGGTTCCTCGTCCCGTTTCATCCAGACGGCACTGCTGATAGCTACCTGGAGGGAGCAAGCACCGCCAATCAGAGGATCGAGTGTTGGTGGGGTTTTCTGCGAAACCAGTGCGTGGAGTTCTGGATATCCTTGTTTGCAGACATCAGAGACACTGGATATTTTGACGGCGGGTTTCTGGACAAGGCTATCCTTCAGTTTTGTTGCATGGGACTGATCCAGGTGAGTTTTGACGTAAATGTGTGTGAGACTGAGGAGAGAGAAAGCTGGAGGGAGCAGGGGAGAGGAGAGAAAGAAAGGCCAATTTTGGATACGTTTTTGAACTATTTTAAGTTTACATGTATGTACAGTTCCTCCTAAATGTATTTTGTGTATTTTTAACAGGATGAACTGGAGGACACTGTCCAAGTTTGGAATGCACACACCATCAGACCATCGAAAAACATCAGTGTCCCCAGTGGTAGACCGAATGTGATGTATGCCTTGCCTCAACTCTATGGGACCAGAGACTTTCTATCCCTTGTTGAAGATGAACATATTCAGTTGTGCAAAGACGAATGTGTTTTTCGGCAGCTGATACCATGTGATCCAGATGTGTATGGACTATGCAACATCTTAATGTCGGAGTCACATCTGACTCTACCAAGAGATCCATTTCAGGCTGTGAACCTGTACAGGCACCTAAGAGAGGCCATCACTTCAGCTATTTAAGTCAGGAATATTTAAAATGCCCTGTAGGGGAACAATTAATCCCAAACCATTTTAATAGCTGATTATTCATTTAAATTATTTTTTGTTAACATTTCACAAAATGTTTTCTATGTCTTAGATGTAAATAACCATCAGTATCAGCCTGTGTGCAGTGACAAATTAATAGTGAAGATACAGTATCTGTGAATGAAGCCACACATTTTAATGTTAGTGTAGCAGAATTATTTTTTAATTTTTCTGTATCTAAAACATTTACATACATTTGAAACCCTGAGGTAATGTAAACTTTGCCAAATCTGACTAGTTTGTCAATAAAAAAAATTATACAAACTTTCAAGGTCACTTCTTGGGCAAATGCACTCACATAAAAAAATACATGTGATAGCATGAAGTTACAGTAGTACATTAGAGCAATATGATGGAAACATTGTAATAATTCAGAAGGGCATATTACACAGACAAACTCAGCTTATACATTTTGTAAACAGGAACACTGGATAGGTATCTTAGTATTGAGTTTTAAACTGCTTCTGAATAAGCAACTAACTGGCATGACTTCAAAAGGAACAATCACTAATTCTACCAGTGATTAACAATTATGTAAATAACAGAATATCACCCTTATATGCTTTTAAAAAAAGAAGTCCAGCATAGAAACTGGGTTAGATTTAAAATAATGAAACAGAAAGCTGCAGTCATTTTCAAAGTATAATTTAAAATATAAAATCTGTTAAAAAATGGTGTATTATTGCACCAGTAAAACAAATAAAGTGCATGCTGAAAAGGAAATGAGACTGCTTATCATGATGTCAGTGCATCAGATGTTTAAATGCCAATCATAAATACATAAATGATTATCAACCATACCATGAGGCCAGTTACTTCTTGGCCTAGTTAAACCTGGTCCCACATTTAAATGATGTCCATTTCTAAGTAATTGCTGGACAGGATATTGTCAAACTCTGTCCGAAATTCTGGGTAAGAACTGTATGTACATGGCACATCAATTGTAGCTCCACAGGTATGAGCAACAGGCCTTCTGTTGAGGCCAGTTTCAGCATTAAAGCTAACCATAATCTTCTCAACACATAACTGAGGAACCTGTGCAGAAGCGTAGGATTTTCTCAGCTTTTGCTTGATCAGCATTTTTCACCTAACGTTGGAGATGGTTTAAGGTTGTTTGTTCTCTTTGAGACAGCACCACCTTATTAGTTTCAAGCAATTGCATTACTCTTTTGCCCGTAGGCTTCTTTAACTCATAAACACTCAACACACTTTCCTTATCTGGTAGTTTAAACCTCACAAGTGACATGGGTGTGGAGAGGCAATCGACAATAAATTTGGGCTCTTGGAGAATTGCTTTGTGTGCCATTAGTTCTATGGCAGGCTTCATGTTGTTCTCTGGAGGTAGGAAATGGGAACCCATCCGTGTGAAAAGGTCAAGCAAGTCCTCTTGATCACTTTCATCCAGTGTTCCCTGAAGAGCCTTCTCAACAGCTGATCTCTCAATGGGAGGGAGGTAGTTGAGAAATGATGACATCAGGATGTCTGTTAACATGGTCAATTCCATTGATGCATGCTAACATAAAAGCCATTGATAGCTTTACTGGCATAACACCATGATCTACAAATCCTTTAACCCAAATCCGTCCAACTGCTTGCCATTCAGCCTCAGAAAAATCTGGCCTAAGCCTTGGAACTCGCTCTGTTTCTCCTTCACACTGTTCAAGAAATTGCTCCCAGAAGGCTGTGTACACCTCCCTAGACACTCCGGCATCATCAATAGCTTTTTCGTTGACAAAGTCCATCTTTAAAGTCATATTCATGATGCTGCTGTCAGTAAATACAGGCAAAAGATCATCAACAACCTTTATCCTGCAAACTGAAGCACGCCGTGTGGTCTGGGGACTTCCTGGGTTGCTGTCTGTTGGCATGTGGCTGCTTGAATGAGAGGGCAAATTGAAATTTAGCCCACTGTCCAGCTAGAAGAACAAAACACACAATTAAAAATCAGAATTGTCAAAGAATAAAGCAGAGGCCAAAGTATCCTAAATTTTGGCATGTTTGTTACAAGGTTACTGATTACCAACTAGGTTATCTATGCGCCTAAGATGTCATAATGTAAAAACAATGTTATTCATGTGAAGATACCTGGCAGTGGAGTCACACCAGAGTATGGTGTTTTCAGACGTCAACTAGAGCGCACCAGAGTTCGGCTAGAGCTAAACTGAGACCATCTCTTCAGGCGGCACTAGTTTATTAAGCATTAGAGTGCGATTGTGCTATCATACTGTGTCAAACTGGACCATATTTAAGTCAATCTAAATTTAGATTGACCTAAAGATCGAGGTGAGAAAAAACACCCTAAGATAAGAATTCCTTTAATATCCCAAAGCAGCAAAATTTGGGTTCTAACAAAGCTTAAAACTACAGCCTATTTCTTCAAAAAATGCTTTATTGGATTTATATCACATTTGTAATTAAAGTGAGAATGCATCAAACATTAGAAGATATTGGGAGATATATTGGAAGATATTAATTTATTTTATTTATTTCTCTGATTTCTTTTTCACCGACAATTTTTATTTCTCCCCACTAGGGGGTTCTGTAGCACCCTCAGCCCCCTGGGGCCTTCATCTCAAGCATCTTTTTATGAGACCATGTTACAAACTGCACCCCTTCTCACACTGGTTTCTGTTCAAAATTTGTGATCTCCTACCACAATAATAGTTAACACTGATGACATCAATTTGCTTGAAGTGGTGTGTCTTACCTGGGCAGCTTGCACTGCTTCCTCGTGTATGGACTGCTGCTCATCCAGGTTAAGCAGGCCATCACCTGAAGGGAGTAGAAGCTCTATCACCTGTGTAGGAGCACCACCCAACTCTGTCCTCTGAAGAATACAATAAAAGACAGCAGATACATCAACCCTAAAATCAGATTTATTTTCAAAAAAGTTTTTCATAATTACTTTTGTACATGAGCATAACTTCCAGTCAACATCAGGAACACTCCAGACAATGTTAAGAAGTCCACTTAGGTTTTAGGATAAAAATGAAAATATTTTACATATTAGAGACATAACAGTACAATAAAGTTATAAGTCAAAGATAAAATTGCTGCACAATTCCAGTAATTAGACGAAAGGACTTAACTGACTCCCAATTTCATTAAAGATAAAAATTTGTATTTGTTTTTAATACCCCATCAAACATGTGATATTAAAATTCAAAACATCCATCCATCCAACCATTTTCTGACCCGCTAAATCCTTCATGGGGTCGCTGGGCTCTATCTCCAGCATTCACTGGGTGAGAGGCGGGGGGTTCACCCTGGACAGGTCGCCAGTCTGTCGCAGGGCAACACATAGACACAGGACAAACAACCATTCACGCACACACTCACACCTAAGGACAATTTAGAGGAGCCAGTTAACAGTCATGTTTATGGACTGTGGGAGGAAGCCAGAGTACCCGGAGACAACCCATGCATGCACAGGGAGAAAATGCAAACTCCATGCAGAAAGACCCAGGATTGGATTTGAGCCCAGAACCTTCTTGCTGCAAGGCAACAGCGCTACCCACTGTGCAACCCCAAAATTTATATCTTTATTAAGAAATTGTAAACAAAATATTACCTGTGTGTCATCCTCAACATGTTTTAAATTGATAACCACCACATCATCGTCCGAATTCCACACAAGTGTATCTGCCTCGTCAAACAAGGGGCCCGGTTCCGGTAAAGTGACGTCACTCGTGTTTTCTCTTCCGTCAATGCTGCTATTTTTTATGTCTGTTGGGGTTGACTGAAAGGGATGTGATGGACCTGGACTTTGTGCTGTCTCATCCTCAGATATTTTCCTTAACCTTTTTGATCTTTGTTGCATCTGAAAACAAATCAAAGACACAGTGCTTTAATTTCTTCAGTAGTAATCAAAAAAATAAATGCTGTGTAACAATACATGTTAAAACACAAAATCTATTAAAGGGGTGGTTGAACATACTGACAAATTGACCTATGTAATAATACTTAGTCATATGAATATGACTATTCCCTTCATTCAGCAGCACCTGACGTTTTTTGAACCATGAAGCAGCTCAGTAAACACAATGGAGGTGAACGCACGTTCCTCAAAACTTAAACACATCATCCAACAACTACAATACTTACCTCACTGTATATATAGATGGACAATTGTAATAAAGTTAGGGACAAGAGTCACTAACTTTATTAGTGACTCTTGTCCCCTTAACATCTGTCCATGTCAGTATCGTTATATTATTTATTACAAATATATGTGCATATACCTGGGCGCTTCCGTCACTATCAGTTGAATATGAACTATCCTGCAGATCTGTGATGACTGACTGAGATCCATCTTCAAACTGACCATTTTCCTCAGATGAGTGATCTTTTGGAGCTCCCTCTTTAGTACAGATGTAAAATCTGAGAAGTTTTAGTTTAGTTTGTTCATACATTTGGCCAACAGTGTGATTAAAGGGAATCTTGTTCCTTTTAAAATCGCAGATGTCAAACGTGAAGTCTTCAGCTCGCCCTTTTGTGGACTGCCCATCAGGAAAAAATAGTTCTTTTCCTAATTCCATGATCTGAGCAACAGTAGCTGTTTTTGCCATTGTAGAATGTCTCGTGCCTCCACCACTGTTGGTCCGTACTTGACTGTATCCATTAATGCCAAAATGAAGCCATCCAATTTCAACCTTTCTTGAAGCCTTCTCTCCTGCCCTATTTCTTTCTCTGGCCATGGTATTTTGGAGTTCGTCTGGGGTTCCACTCGGTGATCCTCTTGTCTTTGATTTCATTTTGCGTGCCCCTATTTTATATTTCAATCTCTCTAAAAGAGTGTCTTTACTGATGCTTTGGCACTGTGTTTGTTCACAGAAAGATAGCACAGCTACTCTATCACCATATGTGTTTATGTATTTCGACATTTGCTCATCACTCATGATGCACAACACTGCTTTGTCAACCTGCAAACAGAAGAGAGAAACACTAGTGTCAGTACAGTGCATTGTATCTATTTTGATGAATCTGAAATTTTTTTTATACTTTGCTTATTAAGATGCATCAAGACAATCAGAAATCTAGTTTAGTGCAAATTACATGCCATTTATGTATTCCCATGTATTAACTTATTCAGTGTAGTTGCAGATTGTTCTAGAAAAAGTTTTAAAAGCCCTATAAAATATACTGTGTTAGCATTCGTTCTGACACAAGTCAACTTTTGTGCATTAAATAATTTCATTAATCACTGCAATTAATGCGCCATTTAATTTGGAAGATGAGGATTCCTTGATTCAGCATGGAAAAATTAAAAACATCTGTGGTTGACGTTCTCCATTTCATGGCACAAAAACATTGTGCGTCCAGGTTATCTCAACCTGAAAAAAGCGAAAACCTGACCCTGTGTGAGTTAAGCTATATAACTAAAATTCCACCTATAACCAAGTATCTTATAGACAGGTATAGATTTATCTATGAATTTGCATACACAACCCATTTATGAATGAATGCATTTAATCAATTTATCCTTATGGTTAATCATTTAAAATAAATATTTAATTTGCTGACTTGAATATCAATTATTCAAATTTATTTGAAATGTACTCTACATTAATTAATGTATGTTTCAGAAAGGTAGTCATCCTAATAAAGTAAAAAAAAAAAGTGTCACAGACCTTTATATAGTTGTTAGTTGTTATTTATTTTATAGTTTTACTCTGATGCTTGATAAAATAGTCAAGAAATGCAGATTGGAAAGGATTCCAACTGCTTGCAAGGTGTACTTTGCTAAATAAATTCAATTCGATTAAATTTAATTTATATAGTGCCAATTCATTAAAACATGTCATCTTAAGGCACTTTACAAAGTCAAATTCAATCAGATTATACAGATTGGTTATAATATAAATTTCCTATATAAAGGGAACCAGTTGATTGAATCAAAGTCTTGATAAGCAGCTTTCCCTCCTGAAGAAGCGTAAAACCACAGGGAGAGTCGTCTGCATTGTCCATGGCTTTGCAGCAATCCCGCATACTGAGCAAGCATGAAGCGACATTACACTGTAAATAAAGCTCACCAGGACAAGCTTTGCTCTTTAAACCACCCGTGCCTGAAAACATGTCGGCTCTATTAATTTCACAAATTTTATACTATGATAAATCACTGGCAAGGAACGTTAACAAGCTGGTAATGACGATACAGGTTTTCGGAAATAAAAATCAACCAGACTTGACAGTCAACAGTATGCTCGACCAGCCAGGGAGTTCAAAGTTACCAGTTTTATCCTCTACTAGTGATGGGTCGGGCAACACCGATGCGTCGGCGCATGTGTCTGTCTCATAGAGCGAAACCTGTGTCGACGTGCGTATCGCTACGGAAAAGTCACGTGACCGAAACAGTTCCTGTATCGGTCACGTGACCGATGTTTCGAACTGATTGACAAGCCTTTATAAGGATGCGCATCTGCCAAAACAATCTTGCGTGTTTTGCGAATATAAAATTCATCAAAAATTATGGAGCTTCCTCAAGCAAAAAGAAAGGTTTGTCCCGTGTGGGACCACTTTGATGTCATTTCGGAAAATAAGGTATTTGTTTTAATGTCCTTGTTTCATCCTGTTCCTCTCAGAGTTTCCACTTGATTCATGTACTAAAATACTATTTTTTTTTTTAAGATGACCTTTGGGAACATTTTGATCTCGAAGTGGGGAGCAGACCAAAAGTGCCACAGCAGATGCCATCCTTGAGGTGCAGAGATACATGGCAGAGGGCAATATTGCGAGGTCCCAGGATCCTCTTGTATATTGGAAAAACTAAAGGACGGTTTATCCAAACCTCTTCCGCCTGGCCTTAAAATTGTTGTGCACTCCAGCTTCATCTGTGCCGTGTGAGCGGGTGTTTTCCACAGCTGGAGAACTAATATCAAAAAAGCGCAACAGACTGAATTTCAAAACTTATTTTTTTTAATAAAAATTTGTAAAAAAAAAAAAAAAAAAATACCAGTGAACAAGCATCTTCATTTACTACATGTTTACTTAGACCTAGACTTAGACTTGACTTTATTAATCCCTTGGGATTACTCCCTTCGGGAAATTGTATTTCCAGTAGCAGGAAAAATTGCACATACAAGAAAATAGAGGATGTTTAGACACAGTATATACAATAGAAAAATAAAATCAATTAAATAAGGTGTAGGAAGATGTATTGGGGGATGAGGATAGACAAATAAATACAGATTAGAGATTATTAAATTATGATGCAGGTTCTCATTATTCATTGACTGTGTCTAAAATATCAAATATGTTTTAATAATAATACAATGCATCATACAATGAATTGCATCATATTAGTGAATATAATAGGTCATCAAATCAGTGTCAGTTAACTCTGTCAACTAGGTTGCCTGTAGGGATTTTTAATGTCCAGCAGGTGTCAGTATTCAGTGACACAGTATCGACACAGTATCAATACAGTTTGGTAATGTGTCGAAACGTTTCATGACGCCTCATCAACCCATCACTATCCTCTACTCAAGTTTCATGATATCATGTTAACATTGTTATTAGGCTATCAAGTATGCATTCACTATAATTGCACGAAACAATTATGCATTTCTACAATTCTACGAATAATACCAATATTAGCTAACGATAGCATGCTATTCACGAAGCTATTCACTCTACTTTCGTCACGAATGCCTTGTTGCTAAATTTACGTCAGGTTATTTAATGGATTGTTTACTGACCTTGTCTCTCTTCATTCGTGTAATGTCGTCTTTTGGGACTTCTCTAGAAATTAAGAACCTCTCCAAATCGTCCTCCATGGTTGTAGCTGACACATGGGCGTTTTATCCTTTTCGCTTTGCGCCTCCGCTGTTGTGTGTCTGGTTTACTTCCGGTTCGCCCCCGTATGTTCAATTTCCGGTTTGCCGACGTAGAAAACCTTTTTTTAATCTTTTCAAATGTCTCTCACTAATGTCAAATCCATGTCTGCAGCCGAGTGTGGATTTAATGTCTTCATATGTCAGGCCAATACTAAAATAGAAATGAATAAACTTCTCCGATTGATGATCTGTTTGCGCCTCCATTGTTTTGTGTCTGTTTACTTCTTCTTCTTCTTCTATTTAATGGCGGTTGGCAAACAACTATGTGGTGCAATACCGCCACTAACCAGCAAGGAGTGTGGATCAGGACATCTGTTTTACTTTGCGAGATCTCGCAATACGTTTGCGAGATCTCGCAAAACGTTTGCGAGATCTTTTTTTTCCTCCAAGTCCCTTTAGGGGCTCCGTAGTTATTGAATAACATATCAACTTTAAAATGTCAAAATAGGACATTCCAAATTATGGTATCATAGCTGAAGAAAGTAAAAACCCTGCCTAGTTTTCCTTAATCCTGTTCACATAATCAAGTGATTATTATTTAGATAACACCTTAAGTTTGTTCTTTGTAGACCTTTAAGTGAATTTTTTGTATGTATGTTTACAAAGGAGATGGAAAAACATATGACCGAAAACCATAAACAATAGGAAAAATAGTATCACAGTCGGGAATGGATTTTATGTTTGAGAAACAAAGTTTATCTTGAATAACATGTGGTCAAATGATGTTTTAGATAATTTAGCACAATTGGTAAAGACAATGAAACCCTTACATTTCTAACAGTTTTATAAGTATACACTTTCCATGACTTTGCTTTTTACCAGAAGATTTTAAAAACCTATGTGTATGTTATGCTCAGCTTGGATCAGTTTGAGTGGTAATAAATTCAGGTCAAAAAAAGAAAGTTTTCAAGCTTTTTATGTTTTTCAGGAAGGAATTTGAAAGTGTCAGTTCCAACAAATAAAAACTGAATAATTGATGCATATCCTTTGATTTATGTATTCAAACATCATGAACCATAACATACAGCTCCATGAACTATAGTGTCAAAACTAATCATCTGAAAATAAGTGACTACAACTAATACAATTAAATACAGATGAGCAGTTGTGCACTCCATAAATGGTAGGTAGACAAATATGGTGACATCCATGTAGATTTTTAATAAATTTGCAAAGACAGAATACAGCTAATTGTCATGTAATCACAACAGGTGTTTTCCTTAATGCAGTTGCTTGAGATCTTCAACATTCTGAATCAATGACACAAAAATGTCTGATCCAAACTTAAGAAGCTTCTAGGGCTTGAACTCCAGAGGTTTCTTTACCGACACCATCAAATGTTTCCCAGAGGGTTCCAAACAACTTCAGGTTCAATAGGCAAAAATCAATGACTTCTGACAAATAATTATGTCAAAATTTTGTTTTATAAAAAAAACCCTGCACATCTTCAGCCTTATGAGCAGGCTTTTGCTGGCACTCCCTGATCTGTCCCAGAAGCATGATCCATACCATTAGTCCATTTGCGCATGCACAACCAGATATACATCTGGGTCGCCCTCGATTTTATTTTGTAAAAAAGATCTAAATTACATTTTTCTCTCCCCAAAAATAGTAAGCTCAGTAAATTATAATGTGATAAAGGTTGATAATGTATTCCCTGAGAAGATAAATGCCTTAAAATCCTTTCTGTGTAATCACTCGTACAGAAAATGGGATCATAGGCTTCTTCCGGGAGCTAACTTTTTCGGCTTTGGATATAAACATAAATCTAGTCTTTTTGGGTTTTATGTTTTGCTTTTGCATTAACATTATTGTATGTAGTGCGTGTCCTAAAGAAAGAAACAACTAACATGCAGAAAAACTTGGTTTAATCATATTTTGCGGACTGCTCTGAGCATGTCTGATGATGTCAGACAAGCAGTTTAACTGAGAAAATGTAAAAATCAACAGTCTCAGAAAAGTCATAAAACATTTTTTTAAAGATTTACATTCGCATTATTCAGTGAGTTAAGGATAGACACATTTTAGACCTTTCTGACAGAGGTAAAAGCTCATATTAATAAAAGGGCGACAGAGGGAAATTCATCACTAAATCATAGGACTTCCACTTCTTAGTGGGGTAGGATGATTTGATACAATTAGATGTGTGTGGTGTGTGGAGTGTGTTAACACTGTCTGTGGAAACTTTGTGACTACTGCTAAAGAAATGTTTAAAAATTGAGTGAAACAAATGCAAATACATATATTTTCTTAGCTCAGATGAAGACACAAATTTTAAACTTGAACAACTGGCCCAGATGCATTTTGGTCTTATGTAATTTTGGTTTTGTAGAGTTCCTCAAAATAGTTCTGTGTAACTGGTATTTCATTTTTTCAGCTAAGCCTATCAAATACAAAACTGCAGACTCAATGATCAAAAAAGGTCTGCCTGGGATTTGAGTGAGCTTCTTAAAAGCAGGAGACCTGTGTCAAGTTTAAGACTTCTGCTTGCACAGCAAATGTTGTGGTAAATTCAAATACTACTAAGTGTTTGTCTTTCACTATTAAGGTTTTGCTTTAAGAGAGCCATCACCATGAGTGCTGTGGTTTTCCTCCTGCTCTTCCTGGCAATAGCTGATGTTTCTGTGGTGAGTTTCAGTCTGCAGAGCTGAACATTTTCCAATTCAGATTGGCTTCACAGACCTTACTATATACAAATGAAGAGCAATGTGTCAGATTATCATTAAAACCTGCAATTGAAAAATATATAAATGAGAGCATCTTTTAAGTTGAAACTTTGTTCCTGTTTGTGTTGCAGAGTGTGCCAATTGACAACGAATATAACATTGGTGAGTAACGTATAAGAGCCATTTGATGGAAAGATCTTTATATCTGATCGATTCTTTCTGTTTTATCCAGATGAGTCAGTGGGTGATTCTAAAACTCCCCCAAGACCTAAAGCTGACTTTGGTAAGGTCATTAACCTGCCTCCAAGTATAAACTTATGCTTATGTAACATGAAGAAATGTTTGGTTTGAAAAACATTTTTCTGACTACACATAAACTCTGCAAAGTTTTACGTTTATAGCTATAACTTTACAAGTTGCAGCGAAAAAATGTATATATAAAATTATTAAAAACTATTTAAAAATGTGATCATCAAAATGAATCACGCATACTACCTTTTAAGAAATGTATTGCCTTTTTCTGTGTTACAGAAACAGCTGTGCTGTATGATGACATTGCAAAACCAAAAACTTTAAGCAGGAATGCAGACCCTTGCACTGCTAAAGGGTGCAAGTGGCCAAAATCAGGATCCTATGTTTACGTGCCCTATTTCATCTCTGAAAGTTACTGTAAGGATCTCTGATTTTACATTTTACTTATAAGAAACCTGTTTAGACATGATTAGGTTTTAACTAACCTCTCTGTAGCTCAGAAAGAGCGCAACATCATCATCAGAGGACTGCAGAGCTTCAATGTATCTACCTGCATTCGCTTTGTCCCCTGGAAGTGTGGTGATCGAGATTTCATCTACATTGAAAATAAAGATGGGTAGGAACACACAGCTAAGACAACAGAATACGCATAAACTATTTAATCATGTCACAATTAACTTTATTGCCAGTGGTGTCAAAAGTACATACATTTTTTACTTAAGTAGAAGTATAGATACTGCAGTTTAAAAAAAACTTTAAAAAGTATCAACTTGACCTCTTTACTCAAGTAAAAGTTAAGTATGTGCTCCAAAAACTACTTAAAGTATAAAAGTATAAAGTAACCTTTAAAAAAAACAGCCAGATGCCACTATATGAATCAAAAGCTCAAAAATTCTTTGAGATAGGGCCGAGGATGAGGGAGGTCTTGTTGGTCTCCATCTCCTGATATGCTCTGGCCTGTGTCCGACCTTTCAGACATTTCGACATCTCTTTCTGTTTCCAACATTGTAGCATGGCATAGAAAATTCGCGTTTGCAGTTAGTGGAACACCTGCTTGTTTCTGATGATTTCCTTTGGCGTCAGCACGAATTTTACAAATAGCTAACCAATTTGTGTTTACGTTATATGACTCATCCAATTACACCAGTTTTCACTAGATGTGGATGGCCCCAATGATCTGCATTGGATGGCGCAAATGACGTGAGATAAATATTTATAAATATTAAACCGAAGCCAAGAGTAACGAGTAAGTTTGTATTAAAAAATGTAAGGAATAGAAAGTACAGATACTTGTTTGAAAATGTAATGAGTAGAAGTCAGAAGTAGGAAGAAAAATAAGTAATGGAATAAATTATAGATTCCTAAAAAGTGTACTAACGAAGTATTTGTACGTCATTATTTGACACCTCTGACTTTTGCACATCTAAGTGATGGCATCCATAATATTGGCTGATTAGATTGAAATAAAAATATTTAATGAATAATTGTCTATGTTCATTAAACCTAACAGTTATCCTATATAACTAATGACCTGCTAATGATTTGTAAAGACAAATGCTATATAATTATGTAATTAGACTACTCTTTAGTTAGTTACTTAGTAGGTATGCAAGTCAATGATTAATGAAATATTCTATAGTTGACTGAACAAACTTTTTATTGTGGAATAAAAGAACAGGCTCCCCGATCTGAAGCTTAGAAAATGTTGGCTGTTTGTCACAGTAAGTTAGAATACATTGACATACTGTCTCTTTGGCATCAAAAACCTTCCATATTTACTCTTCATATTATCTCCTTGGCAGACTGGTTGCTGTTGTGTCCTTTACCCTTTACAACAAAAAACAAATGTTTTGTCTTTTTATCTTTTAGCTGTTGGTCCTATGTGGGGCGCCAGGATGGAGGACAGTACATTTCTCTTAACAAAGGAGGCTGCTTGCACCAAAGTGTTGTGCAGCATGAGGTTATTCATGCTCTTGGTTTCAATCATGAGCAAGTTCGCTCCGACAGAGACACCTACGTCCGAATCCTCTTTGAGAACATTTTACCTGGTTAGTTTGCTGACGGCTGTAAATTGACACATATTTTTATGTGAAAGTGATCCTTTCAGATTTATATCATCCTCATCTGTTCTGGATTTTTGGTAGATAAGAAATTTGCTTTCGAAAAGATAGAGACAAACAACTTGGGAACACCTTATGACTTTAACTCCGTCATGGAGTACAGGAAGTAAGTTTTATTACAATTTATGGTTTTGCATGAAGATAAATTATTTTTATTTTCTGTTGATGAAGTTGTATTTATTCAACATTTGCTCAAATGACTTAAGAAACTTTTGTGAATGCAAAATGGTCAATTACTGTAAACAGATTGTAAAATTATCAGTAATAACTGACTGCATTTTTAAGTGATGCCTTCTCCAAAAATGGAAAACTAACCATCGTTGCCAAGTGCAATCCTAACCTTAAGTTTGGAACCGCCAAGGAAATGAGTGCCAATGACATCCTTCGTATCAAAAGACTTTATGAATGCTGTGAGTATCCTGTTGACAACTATACTGTCAGTAACTAACGTACCAAATAATTTTTTTTTGTTTTTGTTTAACAGAATTCCCTGCATTGAAGTGGACAAGATCCCATTGATCAGAGATGGCAGAACTTTCCCTCTTATGTTTCACAGAGATGCACATAAATACATTAATTCTTGCCTTAAGGTCGATGTCAGCTTAAAAATAATTCTCATTCTTTGCTTAACTAATGCTTTCATATTGATTAGTTCTTCTGATGCACCTATCTAAAGCCTACTCCATTATTCATACTTTTTTTTTTAATCAAAATAAAAGTAGTGATTAAACAGAATGTTTTTGTAAAAGACATTTATATTACAATATGCCTATGAAAATATAATACTCAATTTTAAAAGGATTTTAAAATTTCATGTTAAGAAAGAAAATGTAGTGAAAGAAAAAAAATGCTTTTCTGATGTGTAATAAAATAAAGCATGCAAAAGAGCTAATCAATTACTGTATGTCTTACGATGAGAACATAAAAATATTCTTTGGCAATAGCTTTAAATAATTCTTCTATTTTCACTCCTGTTGATCATTTATTTTGTATATTACAAATAAAAACAAAAAAAATATGCATTATATAACCCATGCCGTTTGGGACTTTTTTATCTTGTCTTTCTTTGAATTATACTGGCTAGACTTTAACCTACTGTCAGTTCTGACAGAACCACGCAAAACCTAGATTAATTCTTTAACTATTTATAAACTTTGTACATGTACAATAGCCACTATTCCATTGCCATGGCTTATTGCTGCCACCCACTTGACTGAAGGTGTAGTGCAGTTTTTTCAGAATGATCTTTATAAATGGGAAGACCAGGATAATTATTTCCCCAGGATTCCTTACAACCAGGGTAAACCCCCCTGGGTGACCCCTAAACTGAAAGTCCTCCTGAACCAGAAGAAGAAGGTTTTCAACTCAGCGGACAGAGAGGAGCAGCTTAGAGTTCAGCAGGAGATCAAATTGAGGATCAGGGTGGCAAAGAGGGACTATGGGAGGAAGATGGAGGAGATTTGATATGCTGTGCAATAACCTGGTTCTCTATACCTCACACCTAGTGCAATACTATATATATAAATATCCATTTATATATAAACCCATTCACCTTTTTCTTCCTTTGGCACATTATTCTGATGTAACAAGTACAATTCTCCATTGAGAGATCAATAAAGTCAATCAATCAATCAATGCTGCTAAGGGGGAAGCTGGAGGACAAAAATCTGCTTGCCTGGACCATCAACTACCTACTTGACCGCCCTCAGCATGTGCGGCTGCATGGCTGGTAGTCAGAGGTGGCAGTCTGCAGCACCAGGGCCCCCCAGAGCACAGTTCTGTCTCAGTTTCGCTTCACCCTCTACACCTCGGACTTCACCTACAACACGGACAGCTGCCACCTCCAGAGGTTCTCAGATGACGCCATTTTGGGTTGTGTGTCAGAGGGGAACCATCAGTGAGAAGAACCCCACCTCAATCCCCCTTGAACATCCAGGAGAGGAGATACACACTGTGGAGAGTTTTAAATACCTGGGTGTTCAGGTCAACAATAAACTGGACTGGACTCTGACGCCCTGTATAAGAAGGGCTAGAGCCGCCTCCACCTCCTGAGGAGGCTGAGGTCCTTTGGAGTGAGCAGACCCCTGCTTAAAACCTTCTATTACTCTGGGGTTGAAGAAAATGTTTTTTTTCTTCAACATCTTGACATCTTCAGTTTCACTAAAAGATAAACAATAAAAATCTCCCCCCAATTGAACTAAAACCATGTCACATTACTGTCATTATTATTAAGGTCTAGATGTTCAGGAAACCACTTTTAACAATAATATTAAATAGATAATAATAAATAGATGGAAAAGGACATTTAGCTTGCAAAACAGACTTTAATTATTCATTTCTAAAACATAAGAAGCCATTGCATTTTTTCATATTTATTTTGGATATAGCATTTACAAAAAAATAAAAATCAAACCTTTACATTTGTTTAGCTCTTTTCTTTCACTTATTTATCTCTGTTGAAGTACAGTCTGATGTAATATCCCTAATCAGAAGAAGGCCATTCAGGTAATATCTCTTTTGGAACCTGTCTACTCCAGATTTTCTACACAATAATTTCTTTAAATATTTACTTCTGACTTGGAAAGTTTGCAGATGTATGATTTCCCAGTGCTTTGACATCATGTCTTTTGGTGCAGCATATCCAGATGTCTGTGCTAATACCGATAAAATGAGGATCCTGGATGAAAAAAAATAGAATGAATACTGTTAATGATAGATATCTTTATTAAATTATATAATTCTATACATATTCACATAATAGATAAAATGTGGAGTATGTTTTTAACTTACTGCATCTGTAAAGCTTGTTGACACGAATAATGTCATTGGTGCTCATTTGACGGGCGTTTCCAAACGCGGGGGCAGGATCTCCCTTTGCTTCGATGGTTGGCAACCCATTCTTGGAGAGGGCATATCTTACAAAAAAAATAAAATAAAAAAAACAGAGCACATTTTTCAATTACAAAATTGAAAGTGTGATAGAATTTAGCAAATTTCTGAAATAAAACCTATAAGTCAACAAAAGTAGGGCACTAAAAAAATTATTAAGTATAACATAAGAAACTTTCTAAAGCCGAGAACTGACACTATATTAACAGAAATGAATGGGCAAATAAACTATTGATGAAATACAGCTGTGTTAAAGTTTTGAGATTGGTTACAGATGGGATTTGTCAGGCTCAACAACCTAAGACAAAGTTGTTGTGGAACCAAATATTTACATCTTGAAAAGAGATGGGCAAATTCTTTTAAATGCCAATATATAATGCATTAAATTAAATCTAGAGGGGATGAAGGCATACTTAGGTTTTTTTTTGGAGGTGTCAAGGTTTTTTTTCATTTAAGTAATTAAACAATAAAAACAAAATTTTTGTCTTGATCTTTTTTTTTTTATTTAAAATGAAATTCTAAATACACCAAAAGAATTCTACCACTTTAGGTTTTTGCTTATGAGTTCAGGTGGAATAAAAATGTTTTTTTTTATTTTCCTTTACATTCCAAACTTGAATTACGGTTAAGAAATTAAAACCAAGACTAAAAGATCAAGATCTTTCATGCAAGTTACTAAAACCAGGGTCACCAAAGAAATAGGGTGAGGAACTCTATCATACAGGGAGGCTCAGAGTAGAGCTGGCAGTTAACACCATCAATAGAAGTCAATAGAGAAAGTTTCTGCATCGGAACAGGATTACATTGTTTTGCATGAATTTCAAATTTGAAAGACTCACTTGTTGTAATGCATGACAGAGCTAAAGTCATAGGGAGTTTCCAAGTTGTTTGTCCTCTTCTTTTGGAAATTGTATTGCTGTTCTGTTGATAAATCAGGAGACAATTTTATACATGTTAAAGTTGATCTTATTTACAATTAGAGAATTGTAAATTTCAGAATATAAACTTAAAAATTAAGCTGCTAACTTCGCTTAATGTTGTTGAAGAGAATTCTGACGTATCTGTCTCTGTCTGAGCGGACCTGGTCATGGTTGAATCCAAGAGCATGAAGAATCTCATGTTGCACAGTCGAATATCTTACGCATCCTCCTCTCTCAAGGGAGATGTACTGTACTCCTTTCTGACGGCCTATGTAAGACCAGCACCTGAGATGTGCCACAAGAAAATAAAACAGAAAGGATCAAACTGACATAGACTTTAATCCTGAAAAAATATACTAAGTGTATTAAATTATATTTCACATCTTTAAGACCTTTTAACATGATTGCCTTTTTTTCTTCTAATACATTATATACATTGTTATTGTGTTTGAACAGTTATTAAAAACTGACTTGTATTCTTAAAATGTAACAAATGGGGACCTAGTAGGGTAGTGAATACAAAAATGAGATGAATAAAATAAGTTATATGAAATTATGAAGGTATAATCACCTCATGAACAGAGATAAAATAATTGAACTTTATCTCACATTGGAGAAATGTAACTTTGCATTTAACCCATCCCCTTGGGGAGCAGTGTGGGGTTAAGGGTCTTGCTCAGAGACTCAGAGAGACAGTCTGTAGGAGTGGGGCTCAAACTCAGAAACTCAGGGTTCCAACACCTATGCCCAAATCACTATGCCCTAACCACTAGGCTGCTTGTCCCCTATTAATCTATCATTTAAAGAAAAATCGGTTGCACTGGCATATTGTCAGATTACCTGCCACTTGTTGGCATTGACGAGGATGTTAACTGTGATATAGCTCTCAGTTTTTGGGGTAATCCTACAATCGGTGGTCCTAATGACCCTTTGCGCTTCTAAAAGGATGGTTCTGGTTGCTCTCAGAGTAGGTTAAAACTTGGCTCCATTAAAGCAACACTAAGTAACTTTTCAACATTCATAAAACCTTGGACCGACCCTCCAGTCTGCCTGTGCAAATAGACAGACAGACAGACAGATAGATCTATAGGCTAAAATAAAATATTGATTTGTTTTCCTACCCAGAGTTAGGTTGAGTAAAGAAAGAGATGTAATTTCGAACACTGGGATTCCAGGGGATAAAACGAATGCAGGTTGTCTGGTTGAAGCTCCGCATGCCTCTAATGATGATGTTCTGCTCCTCTTGGGCTACACATAATTGAAATACATTAAAATTGTGTTCAATAAATCTATTGAAACGGTTTCTTTAGAATAGCTCATGTGAACTTAGATTGTTAAAATTAGAACAGCTTACTGTAGTCTGGGGAAATGTAATAAGGCACGTAGACATAACGTCCTTCTTTGGGCCACTTGCAGCCTTTTTCACTGGCAGTACATGGCTCTGCATTCTTGTACGTCGTATCTGCTACAGCAATGTCTCCATGCAGCACAGGCATTCCTTTTTCAGCAAATAAAAAAAAAGATTTTAGATAGCAAAAATAAATAAGTAAAAAATAAGAAAAGGCTGTAAGATTATCTTTTACATATTAGGTTGCATCACTTAATATAGATTTTAGCAAGACTGAAAAATTGAAGTAATATAGCTTGCCAATAAAGAGTGAAAGAAAGATGTCTTGAAATTATCTGTAAAACTGTCCAATGTGAATTTCCAATTGAATACACTTAAATACAACATTCTTTTTTAACCAAGATCACCCTAAAAGTAGACTGCAAGATTGTAAAAGAAATTAACAAAAAACATCATAACTCTACATATAAAAGGCCATGGTTAACATGGGAAAATTTATGCCTTTTTGACACAACGAGACAGGAAAATTTTAACTTAATAGTTTAACTTAATGAAAGTTATGAACTGGATTGCTAACCAGGAGGTGACATTCACTTTTTTGCTCATCAACCATCAGCCTGTTTAGTGTTTATTTCAAAGTTCACAGCCACCCAGTATTTTGCTTTCAACAATTTTGTTGTTGGAAATTATGTTTAATACTATTAAACATAGATTTTTAAAGCTGATTATGGCAATATAAGTATACTTAAACTTTTTAAATGTGAATAACCACTGTACATATCAATACGATATAAAATGTATAATACTACAGGTCATTATCAAGTATTGGGTTTCAGTGTAAAGCCAGTC